ATATTAAATTAAATATGAAAAACCTTATTTTTGAAAAGTTAAAGTTGGTATGTGATTTATGAAAATGGAAATCTAAAGATAGAGCTTGCTGTAATTTCGTCAAGTTTCATTACAACCAGGGTTGGCCCTGGCCCAAGGCAAACAAGGCCATTGCCTTGGGCCTCAGATGATTTTAAGGGGCGTCAAAAGTTACCCTAATCCATAAAAAAAAGAAAGTTTTGTACTTCTCGCAGAGAGGAAATTAGGAATAGGAAGAGGTGCCCTGGAGACTCCAATCAATGAATGAATTCATCTTCAATTCTTCATTTTTCAATATTCAAGAGTCGTCCTCCAATTTGTGATCAAGAACAACTTGCACCGAGTTGCCAAGTTAAGGACGTATCCAGGTAGTGAAGGTATGAAGGAAGAAGTACATTTATAATCGAAATATGAACAGGGAATTGTGCTTAGTCACATACATATTTAAATAGTTTCTAGCTCTATTTTTAAAGATATTTCCATATGGGAAGTTGTTTAATTCCTAAAAAGTGGATTAATTGAGTTCAATATAATAGTCTGCCTGAAGAATATTAATTTTCCATATATTTGTTCTTTTTCTAAAAAGTGATAGTTTCTGGCAGGTAATCACAGAATTTGAAGAGCAATGGACAAATGGAAAGGTAGAAGGATGGGATAATGAGGGTCAAGAAAATGGTAATATTCCAGCAGAGCATTCTGCTATTGATCTTGATTATTATACTACTGTTGAAGAACTGATGGAGGTAGGACCTGAGAGGCTAAAAGAGGTATGGCAGGAGTTCATAGAAACACTTTTATGTTTTTCCTGCATGATCAATTTAAATTAAGTGGTATTGTGATCCGCATTTTGTTGTCCAAGTTTATACTCGTGCTAAGCTTTAGGCTATACAAAATTATTTCGTATTGATGCATGATAAACTCTGCTTTAATGGATCGGGGATTTAGGTAATACCATGTTGTAAGGCTATAAACTGGCATTAACAAGTGCCTTTATATTCCAAGCAATGGTTTACAGTACAAAGCATTAATAATGAAAATGCGGTACCCTTCAACAGCGTGCAGAGAGGCTTTTTCTTACAAAGGTCAGGATTTATCATTCTTTCCTTTATCAATACCCTTTTACCAAGGTTTTGTTTAATAATTTTAACTTATGGAACTCTCTTATATGCAGCTGAACCTTACTCCATTGTCTAGTCTTTTTTCATCTTTTTAAATAATTATGTTGAAGAGTCTTGTCATAATTAGTCGTCTAGGGCCTCTTAATTCTCAGGCCCGGCCCTGATTGCAACTTTGGGATTCTGATTGTTGGACTAGTCCAAAATCATTTCTGGATTAGCTAGATAATCTTGAAAAATTCTTCAACTATCACAATTTGAGTGACTCACATCGAATTTTCTACTCTAATAGGTCACTTATCGGTTCAACTAGGAGTTATTGGAAGTCTTTTTTACGTAATCGTCTAGGTCAACCGTCAATCACTTTATGGGATGAGATGAAACAAATTCTAAGCAATAAATACCCCCACCCCCACCCCCGGCTTTTTATCGCGTATTATCGAACTCCATTGTCAAATCAATTCTTTTATCACTGTAGGCAAGGTACATCCACTAATAGTGAGTATCTTGCTCACTTCGAAGAGTTATTAAACAATTGTTATATTTATGAGGCTCTCCATATCACGTCGTCTAGGTTTATCGATGGTATAAATCCTAAAATATTTCTTAATGATATTCCTGGACCTCAATCCTTAGATGAGGCTTACCGTCTGGCTAAGAATTGGTACATATTATTTTGACTTGATCAATTATGTACAAAACTGGAGACATCACTCCAGTTACTTTCTAAGTCTAGTTGTGTTAGTCATCTCTCGAAAGAAAAAAAAATGAGATTTTTATTGTTGAACCAATTGAGTTTCTGATAGTGAAGATGAGAGTATTGAGACTCATCTTGTATATCCTCTCACACTAATCGTTGACATAACTAACAATGATACACTTGATAGCTTAACTATAGCATTGTCACCTTTTCCAAACGTTTTGCATACTCCTAAGTGTACATTTAAAGTTAAGTTTGTTGTGACATTACCTCAAACGAATGATTCTTTGCAAGTTGCAACAATTTTTTCTAAGGCAATTATCCACTTTCACACTTATCCAAATGATATTTGATTATTGCCTACCAATTATCGACATGCTATGTTAGCTTCCTAAATTTCATGCTACGATAAAAAGGCAAATTATTTTTAACCATGAAATCTCTGAACTTATTTTCGATTTCAACATAGGTTAGAGACCCTAATGATTATTTTATTTTGTTACTTGTCTCATTATCTTGGTTTCCTAAACGTGTTAAGAAAAGAGTTTTGGACATTTTCTATTCGACTAGCCATCACACTTAAATGAAAGTTATATTTTCAATGTGGAAGAATTGTTTCCTTATAGGGGCCCATTCGAGCCTTCGACGTTGCAATCATTCTTTTCTGCAGGCCGGTCTACAGTGCTAGTTCTTTGTGTTTCTCATTATGCACAATCAATTGAAGATTTTTTGGTTGAGTTGCATGTGTTTTTGCTTTTCTGAGTTCATGATCGACTTTTTGCCAGAAAGAGAAATCGTCCCACTTAGTTAGGACATATATGTGGGGATGATTTGCAACTTCAGTTGTCATCAAGTGATCAATTTAGATATTTGGTTAAAAAGAAAGACCGTCCTCCATGGGATGAATGCAACCACATGTTGTCAAGAGTACAATTTTGACATTTGATCAAGACAAAAGACACACCTCTATGGAATATAAAGTTCCAATCTAACTTGTTAAGAGTCGAGTTCTCTCAACTAGGGAGAAATGATAGAGACCAGGATAAGATGAAGATGAAGTTAGATATAATTTTAATAGAGAGTTTTGTAAGGATTTTTAATCGAACATGTGATCCGGGGACCATAACCATATATTTATACTGATTG